AATCTATTCTTAATTTTATTTTTTTTACTCATTTAAAAATTTTATAATAAAATTAATGATAAATAAAACTTAAATGAGTTGATTAGTATGTGTTTAGAAAGAATTAAGATTAAAGTTATAAAGACTTACAATATTTTGGATAAAGTGGAAAGCATAAATCAATTAAGTTTTTAAATGCTATATAAACTTATAAAAGAAAAACTTCACAAAAAAAAATGCTATTTCTATGGCAAGAAATGTATGATTATAAAATTTTGGTTTGAAATGAAAAGGTATAAGTTTGATTTTTGTATGTTTCGAATCAAATATTGCATAAAACTTTTTCTAATATTTGATAGATTGATATTAACACTTCAACTTATTTGATCAATAATAGAGATTCTTTCTAATATGAGAATCAAAAGAGTATGAAATATTCATCATTATAAGAAATCATCTTAAAGCGAAAACAATAGTATTTAGTACTAATCACTTATACCTGAAGATGATTTATATGATGTTATATTTCTACAATTCTAGAAATTTAGTTTTTTTATCTTGAATTATTAGGGTATTGTTTCTCACTTGGTGAAGAGAAACTCATCATGATTCCATTTAAATTTTGTATAATAGTTTGTATAGAACTAATGTGAATATTCAATTTATAATGATCCTCTAATCAAATATTAGAATAAAATATAATTTTACAAACTACTCACACTATGTATCCTATTTTAATAGAGAGAAATATTTTATTATATATGTTATTATTTATTGAGTTGAGAGTATCTAACATCTCAAGTTATTAACAGTTTTAAGTATATACAAATAAAGTAGAGAGATAATTAGATTAATTAGTCAAATTTATTAAATATGACAGAAGTGATAAATTTTATGGTAGTTATGCTACTTAGCTTAATTATAATTCTAAATTTTTACTAGATTATTAAAAAAAATAAGATATTTATGCTAAATATGTTTCTTACTAGATGTGCTACGATAAAATGAGATTGTTGAAAGGTAAAGTCATACTCTTATTTATATGATTTTGAGTACAATAAGTTATCTATAACACATAAGTTAATAATGTGAGGTGAAGCTTTACTGTTATATATATTTTAAATAGGATTCCTAGTAAGTCAATTTTATCAACCTCTTTTGAGTTATAGATCAGTAGAAAATTTAACTTAAGACATTTACATATTTGTGATTATCCTGTAGAGATAAAAATATTCAAATAATACAAAAAAAATTAAATTCAAAGATTATTTTTAAATATTTTATTATTTATTTAGAAAAAATCAAGGAGATATAAATTTTATTATTCTAATTATTGTATAAGGATAGTTGAATCTAGTAATGTAGGATTCCTAAAAGATAATGAATTAATGAGAGTGAAATTTAATTTTGATATTAACGATATAGGTTGATACTCCTTTATTATTTTTGATGGATTATTGTTGTTCAAATTACTAAAAGAATTGATGAAAATAAATAATAAAATAATATTGATTAAAATAATATTGAAGAATTCTCACATGATGTTAATGTCATCACAAATAATCATATAGAATAACCATAATCAATAGTTTTGAAAATATCTCAAATGGAAAGAACACTTGTAATTTTTTTTATTATTATGTGATATATCTATAAGATTCAAACTATGACATAGTAATAAAAATAATGATTCTAAAAAATACATTATAATAAAAAAATAGAGTTGAAATAAATGAATCAAAATAGTATCTAAAAACTTATAGAATAATCCAATAATTATAAAAGAGTCTATCATATAAACATAACTCAAAGGACAATATTGAATGATATAAAAGTTAGACTTTGATTAAAGGTTTTATGAATGAATTGATCATAACAAGATAGTTTTTTATTTTTTAAATGAACTCGTTAAAATTTATCATTATATTAATGACTTATTATGATTTGAGTTACATCACGTAGATGTGAAAATTAATTTTATGTAAAGGGATTTAGATTTATATATATTAACTTAACGATTCATAGAAAATAAATAAATTTTGTTATATAAATTTAGAAAGTCTTTTATGACCTTGAATAGGCTCCCTGGCAATAGTATATAAAGTTTCTTGAGACTATTGCTTCTTTCACATTCAAGAAAAATATTATTGATCAATGTTTATATCTGAAAATTAGTGAGAGCTAATTTATTATATTAGTCTATATGTGAATAATATTTTGCTTGCTAATAGTGATTATAGATTATTATATCAAAACAAAAAATTTCTCATTAAAAAGTTTAAGATGATTGATATGAGTAAGGCATCTTATATTATTAATATTAAGATATTCATGGATAGATTTTAAGGATTACTACTATTATCTTAAAAATAATATATTAATCGAGTCTTGGAGATATTTAGTATACAACCTTGTTCGGCAAATGATAAAAGTAGATATTTCAGTCAAAATAAATATTTTTAAAATAATTTAAAAAATTAAATAAAAAATATTCATTATATATGCGTAGTTGAAATTTTATTATGCTCAATGTTATACTAGACTAGATATAAATTTTGTAGTTGAAATACTAGGTATACATTAGAGTTACTCGGGAATGAAATATTAAAAGGCTACAAAAAAGGTAATAAGATATTTGGAAGGAATGAAAAATTATATACTTACATATATGAAATTAGATCAACTTGAAATTATTATATTTTCAAATATTGATTCTATAAATTATCTTGATAATAAGAAGTCTACTTTACATTTTATATTTATTAGGGAAAGAGTTAATTTGTAAGAAAAAATATTAAGCAATGTATTATTATATTATCAATAATAAAAGCTAATTTTATGATATACTTACTAATTATATTTTATGATTACAAAATTTTATCTCAAGATTTGGTATCGTTAGACATAATTATCAAGTTGTTGAATATACTTTATGACATCGCAATAGTTTTCTTTTTATGATAATAATAAGTACTCTAGCATTTGTATGCATTATGGTATTTGATGGTTTGATAAAAGAGTCCAAAAATAATTAATGTCATTTAAGAAATAAAATTTTATTATATTAATTGATGATTCATTCACTTAGGACTTATAGTGTTTGTAAAAACATGTTTTTATGATTGGTTTTGTGAGCAACCCATAATTAATAATTGATATTTTTATTTACATAATTAAAATTATTTATTTTTGTTATCCTTTTCATATTTATGTATATATATTATGATTGAATATATATAACATGATTGTCAGATAAATTTCAGGGGTCATTTTGGATTGTATTAGAAAGAGCTAATAGTATTATGATACATAGAGAAAAGTATGATATTGATGACATACAACCGCTATAACTCGTATTAGTAGTCAGATTTAATATGATATTATTATAATCTTTTAGATTTATTGGCATGTTTTATAAAATTTATGCACATGTAAAAAATATTTTTTCAAAGTTTCAAAAACTAATTAAATAAAGTTATTTTAAAATAATCTTTTTATTTTATTTATTTTGATTTTAAATTTTAATATCTTATTAATTAATAGATCTAGTGTGAGAATGTTAGATTATATAGTTCTATCTAATTAGGTAAGATATATCATAAATATAATTGGATTGTAATTATGGTTATCGACTAATAGAAAGAAAGTTGAATTATAGTAAAATTTTTTAGAAGATAAAAAAAAAAAGAGAAGACGAGTCTAATTTTCATTCCAAATGATATTGTTATAACTTTTTTGATAAGACAAAAAAGCATAAAAACTTTTTTTTTATGATATCAAAAAAGTACATATTATTATTATTATTATTTAATTTTAATTTCTGATATTAAAATTTTTCATATAACAGTGATGCGAACATGATTTTTATACTTACGAATATTCTTCATTAATCACATAATGTCCCAACAGTTTGTTCATATGATGTGTGGATACAGAGTGCTGTGTCTCTGCACAAAGCATCATCTTCCTCGCGAATGCCATGATCTATTTGGGCCTCTTCGACACAGCTTCAGTTCTGCAGCCAGCCATCGTCGACGACTTCTTCGTTACAACGTTACAGTGCAGATTAATCGTCTTCGAGTTTCGCCATGTTTACCACGAGCAAAGAACAAACCTTCCGTAACCCAAACTGGCACTCTTGGATCCTTCGGAGACGTTCCTGTCGTCAACACCCGCGGCTCCGCTTGCTCCGCTTCGGGTGACCTCACCTTCTCTCGGAGGCTCGCACCGATCGCGGTGGTGACTCCGCAGCACATGGCGCTGCTCCGCCGCTTGCCCTCCTCCCTTCACGGCAAACATGGCCTCCTGCCTCCTTGAATGGCTCGTGTCCGAGTTGAAAAGCCCAGCCTCTTGCACCGGAGAAAAGGCCGACAAAGAAGCGACGTGATCGATTATTGAATTGGGTGGTGTTTAATGTGTTGTCTTGCACGAAATGACACCGGAGGACGGCAGCAATATGGATTGGACTCTTTGTTCCTTGGTCGGTACACAACGGTGGTTGATTGATGTCTCGTTACGTAAACCCGTGAAGGACGAGTCCCCATTCTGAGATGGGGGCTTTTACCCCCTTCTTTTGGTTGAGACAGATTGGAAATTTCTGAGCTATATTATTTATACACAGTGATTTGTCATGTGCGGCATTATTATTCCCCAACATATCCACTGATCCACAACTCTTTTCTTTTGGATGAACTCTGTCACACTCCAAAACAACATCAGCGATTTATATATACTGATAGAAAAATATTTATCTCAATCAGAATTATTTGGAATGTAAGAAAATAATTTTAATTAGAATTATGGATTTTCTATTATCATAATTTATTTTTAATTCATTGGATCAGTTGAATCCGACCAAAAAAATAGATTAAAAAAAAAAGAAGAAAAAAAATAAAGAAGCGATATTATTGGATTTTTTTTCAAAAAAAAAACGTTATTTTAAGAATTCGTCCTTTTTTTTTATATATTCAAACGTTGGGACGCGTACATCAGACTACAGCGCGCGGTACCGCCACCGGGCCGCCGCCGCCGTAGCGCTCCCACACATACACCGTCATCCACAGTATGTCCTCTTTCCAGCACGACAAGCGGTACACTCCCGGTTCAAATCCTCCACCCGAGCTTCGCCTCCGCCCTTCACGTGACGGCGTGGCCCTCCTCGCCGAACTTTTCAGAACAGCTGCTCCCCATCCACGCTCCCCTTCTTCGTCCTCTTTTGCACGATCTCCCCCCCCCTCCTCCCCATCCGCTGCGTTCGCTCCAATAGGCTCAGACCTTTTCTCTGTTAGGTACATGGTGGCCCCACCGACCCGACGTCATCATGCCTGTTTTCGTCCGGAGGATTCGTGCACCCTGACCGTGTACAGACAGTCGAGCGTCGATCCTCTCGTTTCGTTTGAAGGGATAATAAAGAGGAGGATGAGGAAGGAGAAGAGGCCGGTGGAAGGAAGAGGAGGAGGAGGAGGACGAGCACGACGACGACCGACTCCAACTTCCTTGCGTTGCGTTGTCTGCTTTCCGAACGCAATGCAAGAGCAGCCTTCGAATCCTAGAGCCCTTCTGCCATGGCTGCGGTCGATCTCCATGTGGATCCTCTTGTCGTTGTTCGTGGTTTCTGCTTCGGCATCCGGTGCGTCCGACGACGCTGCGGCCCTCCTGGCGTTTAAGGCCAGGGCTGACCCCGGCAACCGCCTGCCCTTCTTCCCCGCGGCCAACGGCTCCTCCTCCGACAACGAGCACTGCCGCTGGCCCGGCGTCTGGTGCTCCCCCGATGGCAGGGTCGTCCGGCTCGTCCTCGAGGCCGGGGGCCTCGCCGGTGTCTTCGCCGGCGGCACCCTCGACCGGCTTGACCAGCTTCGGATCCTCAGCCTCAAGGCCAACTCCCTTACCGGCCCACTCCCGGACCTCTCCCCGCTGCTGAACCTTAAGGCCCTCTTCCTAAGCCGCAATCGCTTCGTAGGCGCCTTCCCCGCCTCCGTTCTCTCCCTCCATCGCCTCCGTACCCTCGACTTGTCGTACAACAACCTCTCCGGCCCGATCCCGCCTTCTCTCGCCGCGCTCGATCGGCTCTACGCCCTTCGCCTCGAGTCGAACCGCTTCAGCGGTCCCATCCCTCCCCTCAACCAGTCCTCCCTCGTGAACTTCAACGTCTCCTACAACAACTTCTCCGGCAGGATCCCGGCCACCGCCGCGTTGTCCTCGTTCGCCGCCTCGGCCTTCGCTGCGAATCCGGGGCTGTGCGGAGGCGTCCTGAGAAAGAAGTGCGGCGGCGGCAACGCCTCACGCACCGCCCCGTCCCCCGCGAACGCTGTCGCAGGGGAGCACGCGGGGATACGCCTCCCGAGCTCCGCTTCCCCTGCGCAGAAGATGCACAAGAGAGCCGTCGTGGCGGTGGGGTTCTTGGCCAGCTCGTTTCTAGTGATTGGAGTCTTGGGCTTCTCCTTGTTGATGCAGAAGAAGAGGAGCAGGATGAAGCGGGGGGCGATCCTGGGCCCGGTGAAGCACCAAGCCAATGGGGCCGCCGAGGCTCCGGAGTCGAATCTCGAGAATCTCAACGCGCAGACCGAGAACCGGAGCCACGAGCTCATGGCGGCCGCGTCACTGGCGATGTCGGAGGAGAAGGTGAAGAAGCTGTCTAAGAGTGGGTGCTTGGTGTTCTGCGCCGGGGAGGCGCCGGTGTACAATCTGCAGCAGCTGATGAAAGCCTCGGCCGAGATGTTGGGCAGAGGGAGTGCGGGGAGTACTTACAAGGCAGTATTGGAGAATAGGCTGATGGTGAGCGTGAAAAGATTGGACGCCGCGAAGCTGGTGACAACGGGGAAGGAGGTGTTCGAGCGGCACATGGAGATGCTCGGAAGGCTTCGCCACCCCAACTTGGTGCCGCTGCGGGCGTACTTCAAGGCCAAGGAAGAGAGGCTGCTGGTCTATGACTACCATCCCAATGGCAGCTTATCCTCCCTTGTGCATGGTATGGACCTGTGGGTGCCATTCATTCTCTTGTGCTGCTTTCCCTCTTAATTGTTTTCCATTAACTTGGTCATAGTTACTGTTCCTCGGCTGTTTGAAGTAGGTATGATTCTGTCATTTTCTTGTGCTGTTTTCCATCTTATTTTACTTCAATTTGGTTCTTCCTACTAGAAAAACATTTCGGGGACAGTATGCTGGTCATGGGAATGAAAATTTTCAATTCAATTCTTGGAAGTAAAATCTTTTACCTTCCAAAGTTTCAGAAAATCTGAAAGTATTTCCAAGAAACACAAATGAGGGAAGCAATCAAAGATGCCTACTGTTTTAATCATTTAGACTATTCAGTAAATCTTTACTTTCTTCATCTGATGGGGATGAGTTATAGTGAATTGTTCGTTGAACTATAATCTAGGATTAGAAAATGCCCTCGACAAACTATGAGATCTGAAAAGTTATCAAGGTATGCGATTACGACACTCATTTGTCTGAACTATTTTTGTTGTGCCTTTAATGGAGCATATATGTAAGTTTATGCATGCAGATCACCAATATGTATCAATTATTCAAATTAAAAAGATTTAAGTGGTAACAATGATCCCACATGGTTCATCTCAAATCATCAGGATCAACTGTTGAAGAAACTTACATGGTAAATAACCAGAAAGGTTGCCTTTGTACTTGCTTTTTATGACTGAGATGGTGTATGTCATTTGGAATTTTAGATATCCTACATGAAACTTTCAATGGACTCTATCGTCAACCGGTATGACTTGTGTTGGTATAGATATCATTTTGAATTTTGAAGCTTCTTAAATGTGCATCTTCAATATTTCGCAAATTCATGAAACTTAAACATCAGCACTATGAAGTACCCATAAGAAATTAATTTTTGATGTGTTCCTCGTATCTCTCATTTGCTTTCTTGCCGCTTCTTGCACTTGATACATGTTTGTAATTGTGCTTGTCCCATACTAGTACTAGTATGAGCATATATTCCTTTGAATCTCACCTCAGTACATGTAAAATAAAGATAACTTTTTCATTTGGTTTGTGGATTCTAAATCAGATATTTATTGGTTCTGTGCTCCATACATATATAACATGCTAGACTTCCATACATAAATTTCACTCTCTTCTGAGATGATGCTCGAAGATGATATGAAAAGGTATAAATAGACTTTTTGGAAAATATCTATGCTCACTTATTTTAGAATCTGATGCAGCCCAGCAATCAGTACTGTTCTTTAATATTAGGAAGGGCTCCTCTTAGGCTATTTGTATACTAAGGTTCTTACCCTCGAGCTGTCCTTAAGTTGCAGATTGTAGAATCCCAAGTTTTGCTTGCAAAATCAATAATTAAAAAATAAGGGCGGAAGGAATTTTCACTTTAGTTTATGCAGCAAAAAGGTTAGATAGTATAATTTAACGATTGAGTAAGCAAGAGACAAAGCATTTAATTTTTATCATTTGTAGGTAATGTTCTAGCAAAACATAAAATGCTAAATTGATATTGTGATTCATTTTTGTTGCTTAATACTATTTCATAGCTGTCACTGGGGCCGATACTTGCTACTCACCCCATTTCAATTAAAATTATGGCTACTCTGGTTAATTTTAAATTCTGACGTTTTTGTTGTAGGTTCAAGATCCACAAGACCGAAGCCCCTCCACTGGACCTCATGTCTAAAGATTGCAGAGGATGTTGCACACGGCCTTGCATACATCCACCAAGCTTCTCGATTAGTCCATGGAAACGTTAAATCGTCCAATGTCCTTCTTGGTTCTGATTTTGAGGCTTGCCTGACCGACAACTGTCTCGCTTTTCTTATGAAACCATCCGACAATGAAGATGACATAGGATATAGAGCTCCCGAATCCCAAAATTCTAATGGAGGGCTAACACCTAGTTCAGATATCTATGCATTTGGTGTCTTACTGCTGGAGCTCCTGACCGGGAAACGACCTTCGCAGCAGCCAGTGCTAGTGGAAACCACTCTGCCTGTTTGGGTTCGATCAATGAGAGAGGATGTAATCGAAGGAGCAGATGATGAACGCTTAATGATGATCATCGACATTGCTGCAGCCTGTGTTCATCTTTCTCCAGATAGCAGGCCGACCACATGGCAGATTTTGAAAATGATTGAGGAAGTGAAGGAGGTTGACATAGGAGACCATGATAGTGGTTCAGCCTCCCTTTCCTAGTTCTGGCCCTGATGCCCATATCTAATGGACCTTGTTGAAGAGATCTTTCTATTCTGAGGGCAATTGGAACTTCAGTGTCCATAAATGTAATGTCCACCCTCAGTGTGGGAGGGATGTGCTAAGATTGTTGAATAGTTAAAAACCTGCTTCACTGTTGCTCATGGAATTGGAACCATGGAGGCTACCAAAATAGTTCATTGCTCATGTACCATCAGTGTTAGCTCAACTGTAGTATAGAAGATAAATTGCAATCAGGGTAAATAAGGATCAGATTGTGCCTTCAGCAGATGTCAAAGACAAGTATTCTAAGCCTTGTAAAAGTATTCTATGAATTTATATATAATCTCTAAATTTTTGGAGCTTGGATTCTTTTATGCTGTGGATTGTGATGCTGCAGTTTTTGCATGGAGCAAGACTCTGTCCCTGAAACACCATGATGCTTTGCTAACCTTAACATTGTGAAACCTCATGCCAACATTCTTTGTTTGGATCAGGTAAAAAACACAAAAGATTATTGGATTGTTTATTTCTTTTTGTTATTTTGTAGATGCACTCATATGTACAATCTTTAATAGCTTTTGAAATTTTCTTCTCCTAAATGTTCTCAGGTGATACAGTTTTCCATTGCTCTATCCATCTCTTATTCCCCTTGGGAAATAAAGTTAAATTGTGGTTGATGTCATATAAGCTATTTTTTTAAATTTATTTTCTATATTTTTTTAAATAAATGATTCATTGGTCAGGATCAAATATATTTATATTTATCTTTATTGGAACATTCGGATTGATTAGTGCATTGTTGCATAAGTGATAGGTCTCAAATTGTATATATTATTTGATATAATATATATATTTTTTATTTTAAAAATCCAATGTATTTATTTTAAAAATAATAAAAAAATTTACAATTAAAAATAACCCATCACCTAACCGTTGTTTTCACGGCCCGGCTTAAGTCACAACTTAAGAGGGCGACGCCCGCGCGCACTCGAGGGGAAAGTGGGGAGTTCGGCGACCGAGAGAGTGAGCTATGGGGGGCGGCGGCGAGGCGGAGACGCAGACGCTGGTGGAGGCCGCCCTGGAGGTCTTGAACACGCCCGATCCGTTCGAGAAGGCCCGCCTTGGCGAAGCCGTGGCCGCCCGCTGGCTGCTGGACGACATCTCGGTCCTCTATCGCGATGATGGCCCTCCCCCTCTCGTCCCTGACCGACCGGCCCGTCTCTCGAGTGTAATTGGCACTGGGACTCTGCTCGATTTCCGTGTGAAAAAGGTGAAGAAAAGGGGAAATTGACTGTTTTCTGCGCACTCGCAGGTGAAACTGGTGTCGCCGAGCATGATGCCGAAGCTGGGCAAAGCCGGGAGTTTGCAGAGCCGGCAGGCCATCCTACATAGCCTTGCCCACACTGAGAGCTGGGCTATTGACCTTTCCTGGGTGAGTTTTGGTTCAGTTGCTACTGCCCACCACTCGTTTGTCAAAATGTCGCAGCCACTCGGAAAAAAAACTGTTATCCATACTTTTCTAAGCGCAGGACATCATTGCTCGTTTTGGGAGGCAGGAGGCAATGCCCAGGGAATTCTTCACTGACTTTGTGAGGGTGGCCCAGGATGAAGGTCGGCACTTCACACTCCTCGCTGCAAGGCTGGAGGAGGTGGGGTCACACTATGGGGCTCTCCCTGCCCATGACGGCCTTTGGGACTCTGCATTGCAGACCTCCAAAAGCCTGTTGGCACGACTCGCCGTGGAGCACTGCGTCCATGAGGTTGGTGATTCTTTTTTCTATGACTTGAATCGTCTTCCCGATCTTATGAAAAGAGCTGCAAAAACAATAGTTAAAAGCAAGATATGCAATTCTGTACCGCACCGGTGTTTTGAGGTTGGCTCGATACGGTATGGTACCATGTACCGAGCGTACCGAGCGGTACACCTAATTTAGGTGTAAAACCCTATGAAAATATCTGAAAATAAAAAAAAATTAGGATAGAGTTTTTAAGTTAGAAATAAATATAGTAATAGCATAAGTTTAGCAAAATCAATGTAAATTAGGTAAGAATAGTATCACATATCTTTTTCGGGTTTTGAAGAATATCTTGTGCGAGGTTCGTATTTCAGTCAATTACGAATTGTCCTTATGTAAACATACCTTTTGATTAGAAAGTTTTTCTTCTTAATCTTCCCAAATTAGCCTTGATTCAATTCATAAATCGTTGTTTTGTAGAGTTTAGGAGAGCATAAATGTGAGAAAAAAAGAGTTTGAGATAGTTTAAGAGAATATAAATGTAATGGAGTGAAATAGGGGGAAAGAAGGGGTTTAAATACTATGAGAAATGGCTCCAACGGTCAATTTGACCGTTGGAGCACTGTATCACTATTACCGAACGATTTTAAATATTTCTTTCTCTTACTGTAGCACTGTAGCACTGCTACATTGTAGCACTGTAGCACGTTCCGTCCGGTAGCAGGCGGTCTGCGTACCGGTATGCCATCGGACCGGTACGTACCGCCCATACCGGGCGGTACCATTCGAAATTGCATACCACGGTTAAAAGAACAAGTTTTGTTGCAAGGGAAAACATTATAATGAACACAAATGAGAACAAAGACAAAAAGATACTGCAAAGACCACACTCAATTGAGACTCCTCAACCAGTATTCCCTTTAGAACATCCCAAAATTTGCTTAAAGAAGTTCAATTTAGGGACCGTGGAACTCTTAAGTTTGAGGCTAGCACTCATGAATTTTGTACAGTCTTTGGGCATAAGAGTCAAGGAAGGTGCCCAATAACATGTGTTATCGGTGGATAAACATTTAATATACATTAATATGTAGACTATCCTGGAAGGAAAATGAGCAAATACTTCCATAAGGGGATGTAGTGAGTGACATAACTTGCATTATGCACTTTTAACCAGAGACTTTTTGTTCTTATTGTTGCTTGATTTTTAAGTACTTGTCTAATTCCCATGTTCGGTTTGCTGCCACCTAGCTGCATAAGCATCACCTAAGACTGCAATAAATTACCCACCATGTCACAACCAACTGCTGTTTCTCTATAATGGCTGGCAGTGGTGTTCCTACAGAACACAACAGCAAATATTGTGCTCTGGTGGCCATCTGCCAAAACAAAATTAAATAATTTATTCATCAAAGTTAACTATAAGATCAATTACAACACATCAAACTTCAGCTGAAATCAGTTATTATTCTAAGAGACCTTATCTGACACCATGTTTGTCACCTGGTATTAAACCAGATATGTTTCACTGTTACTGGTTGTATATTCTTCTTAAATCTTTTCATTTAGATTATCATTTGCTTTTTTCTTTTTTCCTTGTGTTTTCTTTTCTTTTTCCAAATAATTAAAAAAATAATGTCAACGTTTTACCCTTAAAGAAGGGAACTTTCCTTCAACTGTTTCTTTTACCCTTCTAAGTTATACTTCCCTTTCCTCCCTCCTTTCCTTTGTATACTGAATTTCTTCTTTTCCTAATTTCTCAAAATTTCGTTCTTCTTGCTTCATTTTCATCCAGATATATATATGACTCCTAGAAACGAGGTGTAGTTCTAAATATGTTTGCTGATTGTTGTATCAACCAATTTTATAATAACCTTGTGCATCAAAAGAATAAAATTTTAAATTTAATTACTAAGAATCAGGTGCATAAACATGTTTGAACTTACTATCATGCAAAATGTGAAAGAAGAAAGTTAGAACATTGGATTTGATGTAGTTATAGAACATTTAAAGAAAAATGAATGATACACAGAACCTCGACTTCCCTGAGAGTGTTAACATCTCAATATGCATCTTTTTCGAATTAGATTTGCAAATGGAAAGTTAGTGGATAGACTATAATTCTTGTTATGTGTCAAAATGCTAGTTCAGAATTTAAATAGATATGATGAGAGGGGAGAGACAAGATTGAAACATGAAGGTTACAGCCAATATCCATCTGCTATAGACGAAGTTTCCGACAGCCTAACACCTGTCTGCTCGGTTGATCCAAATATTGACAACCCATGACCAATATATATTTATTAACCTCGATCTGATAAAAACAACAATCCCTTGAAATCAATTATCTACTTCTTATTTCTCACTCAATCCGATGTCCTTAAGATCTGGTGACAAATTTGCAACAAGAACAATGTTGTAAATACATATGTATAACTTGGAAGAGAGGGGTATAACACAATGAAGCAGTTGAAATAATGAGAAATTTGGGCAATTCTAGAAATTCTTAAAATATTATCTTTCCCTCAGGAGAAGAAGTGGAACTTACATTAACAACAACAAAACCGTAAGCCCCAACAAGTGGAACCTAAAGGATGTTAATGTTAATATCATAAGATCAAGTTAATCTTTATGCAAAAGCTTTTACCTATTTTATGTTCATCAATGAAGGAAGTGATAAAATATCAAATTAGTAGGAATAACTCTCATATAATGTTGTTGCCCTTGCTATATTGTTCTATCAAAATTCAGGTTGCATTAATAGAAGATGCTAAACTTAATTGTCTGTTGACCTTCTTGAATCTCGACTTCTTTGTTGCACTTTTTTCTGTGCTTCAAGTCATAATTCATAACTCTGAAATATTTATGAATATCTTCTCTTCTTGGATTAATTTATCTGAATTCAGGCTAGGGGGCTAGATGTACTTCCCACCACCATCTCCCGTTTCCGGAATGGAGGGGATGAACAAACAGCAAATCTGTTGGAAAGGGTTGTGTATCCAGAAGAGATTACACACTGTGCTGCTGGTGTCAAATGGTTCACATATCTGTGTCTTCGGACACCTAATGAGCATCATGGTGCAGCGCTAATTCATGACAGTACTGGATCTGCACAACCTTTGGAGGGAGAAAGTATCCCAAATCAGCATGAGGTTGATCATGGTGACGGTGAGCTGACACAAGATCTTGCTCAAAATTTCAAAACCTCTGTAGCAATATGCCACGGCCAACAGGAGATGGTAATCCAGCGTTTTCATGCCACCGTCAGAGAATACTTCAGGGGTCCACTTAAGCCCCCTTTCAATGTGCAAGCGAGGAAAGCTGCAGGGTTCGGACCCGAATGGTACGAGCCCTTGGCACAGAAATAGGCGAAGACCCAAAAGAAAAAACTGATTCTTTACCTCTCTTCCAGACGATCCATTTCTTGATTTACAAGTTCTAACATATTCTACTTGGCAAACTTCATCGGTCACCCTGCGTTACAGATGCAGCATCAGTTTTGCCCATGGCTGTTGAACTACATACTGAATTCTTTTTTTTTTGTCCTTGCGATTTATTATGATATTTTGAATTGCAAGCCAGTAATGTAAGACATGATTTGGTGGCAGAATAAGATGAGCTAACAGTCATGATGCTGTCGGTGCTGCCAGCCGAGATATACTGCTTCCAGGGCTAATGATTAATGTGAAATGAGGACACATGATCGTAAAGTTTAAGCTGCTGCTCTTCATGTCCAGGTACTTTTCACGAGTTTGGTGGGAGGTGGATCGATGACCAGCCTGTGGACCAGCAGGGGAAGGAGAAGTTGAGACATCCTCATCAGGCTGAGATGCCACCCAACCATGTAAGACAAAACTCTCCTCCTCCTCCTCCCTGTCCTCTTCGTTTTCTTATAGACAACGGTAGATGCAAAAGTAATGTTTTTGTAAGATTAAGAAAAATACATCAGAAGAGTCATAAATATAGTGAAATCTTGTTTTGTCGGTAGAATAGAATCTTAAGAATCTGTTTAATTAAAAGGAAAGCAGAGTGACAGTTTGGAAGTCGCAGTCATCTAAAAATCTGTGGTTGTACCGAGACAGAATTAGAGACGATAATTTCACAGGTCATTGGGTTAATTTTACTTGGAAAATTGATGTATTTTTTGATAAATAGATTGAGATCATGTTTGGATGGTTTCATATAATCCTATCATTTTCTTGTAAATATATTAACCACGTGGATTATTCATACGAAATTATAAGATAGGAAAAGTAAATATGATTATTTTTTTTCATGTGTATAGTATTTTTGCACTCTGTATAATGTAATATATGTATATGGGAAAATAATAAATAAATAAATATTGTGAGATATTCCACCAAAGTTTACCGCGATGAACTCACGAAGCAACGGCTTGAGCTGACGTGGCGCAGATCCGACGGCTGTCATTCTTGTTCAGCTTTCTCTGTCGAATGAAGAGACAGTCAGCGGTCCAACAACGCCCACCGACACCTCTCTCTCTCTCTCTATTAGACATTTTAGTTCGGCTTCCCCTCCAATCCAACCACATTCAGCGTTCTTCCTCGCCTCTCTCTTCAATTGCCTTCGAAGAGTTCAGATCTGGTCTGACCAAGCACTCTCGATCGTGGGGAAGATGAGGGCGTGGTCGGCCGTCCTGCTGGTGGTCGCTGTAGCCTTCGCGGCAGCGGCAGAGGCGTCGAAGTCGAAGCCCAAGGTGTGCAACAAGGGGTGGGAGTGCAGCGGCAGTATCTACTGCTGCAACGAGACCATCAGCGACTACTTCAAGGTGTACCAGTTCGAGAACCTCTTCAGCAAGCGCAACTCCCCCGTGGCGCACGCCGTCGGCTTCTGGGACTACCAGTCCTTCATCCTTGCCGCCTCCGTATACGAGCCCCTCGGGTTCGGCACCACCGGCGACAAGGTGACCAAGATGCAGGAGGTCTCCGCCTTCCTCGGCCACGTCGGCAGCAAGACCTCCTGTAAGAATCATCCCTCCTCTCTTCCTCGCATTCCTCCATGCGTCTGATGGATCTTGTGCGTGAATGTCGGATCTCTGTCCTTATTCTTCATTCCGACCTATTTGCTTGCATCCATGAGAAATTGCATCGACACTAGACTGTTTGGGAAAGGGGAATCGATGTTCTGATGGATCTTGTGCGTGAATGTCGGTTCTCTGTCCTTATTCTTCATTTCGACCTATTTGCTTGCATCCATGAAAAATTAGCATCGACACTAGACTGTTTGGG